AGCAGCGTGCCGACACACAAATCGAGATGGATGCTGAGAGTGATGTTTCCCAGGATGCTGAAGAGGAGCACTCTCTCTCAGAAGTATTTATTCACCAATGCATTGAGACAATCGAATTTGTTCTTGGTATGGTTTCAAACACAGCCTCTTATCTCCGCCTATGGGCGCTTTCTCTGGCGCACACAGAGCTTGCTCAAGTTTTTTGGGAGAAGACCATGCGCACTGCAATCAACTCGAACAACGGCTTTTTTATCTTTATTGCGTACTCAATATTTGCAGTCGAGGCCAGCGCCGACGACTATCCGCACACTGCTTGGATAAATCTTTTGGAGACATCTGCAACTACAGGTTGTCACGACTGCCGTTCTCCTTGCCATGGACCTCCTCGAGTGTTTTCTTCATGCTCTCCGTCTTCATTGGGTAATACTTCAAGTCTTCATCTACCGTAATGTTCTGGCTTTATGATGATTTGTGGTCGCGTAGGTTGAGTTTCAAAATAAGTTCTTCAAAGCAGACGGCATTCGTTTTGCGCCCTTTGAGTTCAATCAGATCATTGAATTCAACTGAATTGCTCAATCCGAGTTGTATGGTCATAAACAAAATGCCCACATCGATGTTACGTCAGTGTGGTCAATAGAACACCTATGAAACAGCTGAACGTGCGCAAAACCCCGGAGCACGCTGCATTGATCAATTTTAGCACGGATGTATTTCAGAGAGAGCCCAAGATGCTGCGCCCCATCTTGCTTTTAACATCCACATGTGGTGCCCGACTGCTGGGATTTGGACATGTTGCAGCCTCACCAGGGCTTAACGTGGGAATTCGGCGGTATCTAACGGACATGAGCAATTCAAATGCGGCCTAGTTTGGACCCCCCCCCCCCCACCCGGGCCCCCGGTGCCTGAGTAAAGCCCTGGACACGAGAAACCCAACGAAGCTGAGTTTGCGACTTGACCCTGGACACGAGAAACCCAACGAAGCTGAGTTTGCGACTTGGCCCTGGACACGAGAAACCCAACGAAGCTGAGTTTGCGGCTTGCTTGCCCCTCTCCCTAGTCGCCCTTAAGAGCCCTGCGTAAGAGCCCCGGGTCTGGCGCCGTCTCTGTCCAGGGAGCCCGTGGGGTCCGTGGGGCGGCGGCGGGTGCGCGGCGGGGTCGGGTGGGGCCTCTTCTGCGGGCCCCTTTGGGCCTCTTCCGGGCCGCCGCGCGACCGGTCGCCGCGGCTCATACTGACTCGGAGCCTACTGAGCCGGCTCAGTCTCAGTATGGGGGGCGGTTGCGGATCGCTGGATTTCCCGTGGATGATCGAGGCAACAATCACACTTAGCCTACCCTAGGAGGCGTGGCGGACGGAGGCGTCCATATTCGGGGTCACAGTGGCTGGGGCTGCCTTTTGGGGTGGTTGTCGGGGGCGGGGCCGCGGTCGTCACGGTACTCAGGTCGAACTGAGTCGGGACTGAGTAGTTTCAGTCAATCTGCTCGAACCGGATCATGTCCTTTTAACAAGCACTACGTAAAACCCAGCAATCTCAATTAATCAAGCTATGGACGATCCCCGCGACTGCATTTTGGCTCGAGGGAGGGTGTGCGTTGGCACGATTTGGGAGAAGGGGGGTGAGATTAAGACTGCCAAGTTTCAGGTCTGAAGACCATGGGGTTGGGCGCGCGCGCCATCGTCTGCCCGGCCTTGCTTCGCTCCGCTGCTGCCACTCTTGTGACTCACGTTGCCGCGTTGCCTACAACGAGTCGCTCATTCAGTTGGTGTTCAAGATTCGCATTCACATAACTTGAATGTTATTTCGCGAAGCCTTGGAGCGCGACTGTCGGGAGTCACAAGTAACACAATGCCCGGTCATGTTTATCAGCTTCGTATTAGCGAGCGAGGCCTCGCGCCTTGCAATGCATCCACTCTGGAATAAAACTTGCCTGCAATAAAAGCTCATCATGTTCTCGTATGAGCCTCCGATGTACCATATGCCCGTGGCAGGCTCGTTGATGTTCAAGCGGAACGCGTTTCTCAGCGTCCCTTACACAACCGTTGCTAAAGTTAATCGTGTCTCGCTTTCGTTGCGACCCTGGCGGTACCTCGGGTCCTTCGATGTACAAAAGGGTGACGGGCCAATTCGCCACCAAATTTACGTCCCTGTAATTTTGCCTGGGAAGTTGATGGCGCGGACGCAATTCGCGCGCGCGACGAGTAAGCGTTTTGTTGAACATTTAAATACGATTTCCGGCCCGAACCGGCGACCCCACACCCTTGAAATCCCTCAATCGATACGATTAGCTTGCTATCCCGGTGGGCTGGCTTGGCGGGGGCATTTTTCAACAATTTTGCCACGATTTCCGTCCGGTGGTCGACCTGCGCGCGCGCGGTCGACGGAGGACCTCTATGACATACTACGGCCGGCGGCCAGAAAGAATAAATAAATACTTCTATGGGGCGCTCTAGCCCTATGGTTGTTTTCGTCCTTGACAATGGCATGATCTGATTCCGAATCATTCCTTTCTCGAGAGTAATAAGTTACAACTACGATGGCCGGGTCCGGATAATATGTGAATGGGCGATAAAGATCGGACTGCGAATACAGCAATCCGTGGACTGAGAATACCGGACTCGTCCACAAGCAGACGTGTACTCGTCCGCAGCTGTGCTTCTAGGACCACGTCCGCCATTCTGATCGATAGACGGGCAGACTTCCACGAGGTATCTCAGCAGATAATTGAAGTGCTTGACTTGGACAAACTGGGAGATCTTGCGATTTGTGATTCAGCAGACCTAATCCAAGTAAGCAACGAATGCGCCCATCCATACGAAATTGCGGCAAGAGGGGATTGGATCCGTTCGGAGTCCCATTGGCGATCGACATGGCAGCGTATGCTGAACCGCTGCGAATGCCAACAACGAGATCGCCTCGAGGTGCGTCTGACGCAGAGTTCCAAGCAACTATTAACAGATAATACAGGTGCTCCTTGACAGACTTCAGCAACCTCATAACTTGTTGAAAGACTCAGCGACGAAAAAAAACTGGCTACTTGAAAGGGAGGCAATACTGTGGGTTCTTGGACGAACCTTACAAAGACAAAGAGAAGTATTAGATGCAATTACGATTGAGCGTATTGCGTCGCTGATAGCCCTGCCAATGCACCATGCTATGGCTGTGACGCATGGTACATATTGCATTGCCTCGAACACCCCAACAGCAAGGTTACTCTCTCGGGCGCGAGCACAGTGCCTTCCCAGTCGACTTGAATAGATCGATGTTAAACCTGAAACTAAAGGTTGGCGCTGTGGATAGAATAGTTCTCGTGCTCCGACGAGCATCAGGAAAACATTCGCAAACTATGGCTGCTTCATCTGCACTAGTGCGAATGTTCTGTGTGGGTATCTTGGCTCAAATTGCGACCGCAACGGTTGGAGACAGCTTAGACTATGGCTGGAATATAGGAGAAGTGGTGACGGCTCTGCTCTCCGTCTGTACGAGATCGCATCTATCATCAATTAAGGACGGTAGTCCCAAGCAAACCTTGCTGCGGGCTTCCACTGTAACATTGCAGGACGTGGACGGTATTACAGCGGATAATGCGGCTAATACACTGGCAACGCTTGCATCAGCACAACCTGGCCAAGTGGCGATGGTAGCCCTGAATCAATTTCCTCGAGTAGTTTTGACTCTCGCAAATGGTTGGGAACGGCCAAGCCTGAGTCGGTGCGGAGCATTGATGATTGCAGCCGTCGTGCGGACATCGTTTGGCAGAAGATGCCTGCTGCGTTGCACTCCTGTCCCCGCGGCAGTGTCCGGTGAGAAGAATATACCTACTGCTGGAGCTCTGACTGCTGCTGATGGATGCCGTCTCCTAGCCTCATTTGCGTGTAAAGGCGTCGAGACAGGAGTCAGTGAAGTCATTATGCCCGCCTTGCTCTGGTCAGCTACACTACATGCAGCCATCATTGGACTCTGGGGCCTCGTCGCTGAGCTAATTCCGACTGTCAACAGGATCTCCGTCGATTCAATATTAGGGCTGCAAGATTGTTGGGCCGTTGCACTTGATATTGCCGAAGCTGTTGTCAGCGGCGTTGGGGACTCGGCACCACAATCTATACCAGCAGCTATAATGCTCCTCGATCGACTCGCCCTCCTGCCAGAGCTAGCATTCAAGGGAAAAGGTGAACGCATCATCCGCGTAATTGCCATGCTGCATGCCGCTGATCAAGTGGGTTGCCGCGAGAAAGACAAGGAAATCCGGGCTGTGAGTGCTGCTTTGGTTGCTGAGGTCAAGCGTGGCGCGGCGCTTGTGCTCGCACGTCTGAGCAGTTCGATCCTTGGTGTTGATAGCACAGGCATGAGCACTAAGCGCGCGCGTCGCTGTTGGGGCGTGTGAATATTCTGCGCCCCCCCCCCCCCTTTGCAGTGGTTCGACTGTGCTCTATAGGTTCTGTGGTGCTCTTTTGTCTAGCGCAGATAGTTTTGCGATGGTGGTTCAGTGTCGTAAGGCCGCACTAGACAAAAATCATGTTTAATAAGTCAGGTTTTGGGCTGTATTGTGCGCTCGTTGCTTTCAGAGGGTGACAAAGTTTTGTGTCACCGCACGGTCATCGCTGCATTTTATCTCGCTTATAGTGCTACTACGGATACGACCGCATCTCAAGCTACCATTAGTGCCTCTATTGAACTACTTGCAACACGTCGAGATCCTGACATCGCAACGTTTGCAGCGGCAATTGTCTGGGCGATCGCCCGAGCCGCACAAACCGGCGTACTAATGGCCGGAATTGATGAAGTGACATCGAATCAATGATAGGAGCGACAGCGGCAAAAGTTAGTGTCATTTGGAGCTGTAGGATCTTTGGTCTGTTTACTGGGGTGGGCTCCAAATGTAGAATGTCGAGCTTGGGCAGCAGCAGCAATTGCCCTCTTAACCTGCACCGATCATGGTAAATATTCAAATCTACATGCTGGTGTGATGTCGTTTTGATCTATCCTGTCAGGCGCATCTGATTTGAGACGTATCGCGCCAGCGACCTCCTTATTGGCTGCCTTTGCCATGCCAGTAAGCGGCGATATTCGCCACCAGGACTCAGTCCAACGAACCATAAACAAGGTCTGTTCGTGTGAAAAATTTGCTTTGTTCACATCCAGTCTCAATCAGCACGGTCAAGTCCCTCCTGCTTCGCTCAGTGGCGCGGACTACCAGTCGCTTATCACATCTTGCATCTTCTCAATCTGGCGTGCGTACGGGCACGAAAATGGTCCATAAATGTCGCAACAACTGACGTCAGCGAGATTGGACGCAAGCATGCACAGGCGTGCAGGCTATAGTCGAAACACATCGAAGCTATACTGTCCTAACAGCCGTCCTTGCAGTGCTGCGATGTCCTGATCTTGGCCATATTGCCCTGAGATGTGCTGCCAGCCTTATCTTTGAGCTTGCACGATATCCCAGCAACCGCATTTTGCTTCGCCGCGCAGTCATAGAGGTATCAGCGGGCAATACTGGAGCGAAGGGTATGTCGATTGTGCAAGAACGATGGGCTCTTGCAGCCCTTGCCGTAGCACTGCTCAACGCCAGCAACACCGCACCTGTCTCCGTTCCTTGTGGCGTGGAGTTCAGAGAGTATCGTGTTGAAGTGATACGCTTGGTCACCCGCCTTGCAAAGAGCCGCGCCGAGGCAGGCGCACTTGGTGCATTAGGCTGCGTCGAGGCTCTGATTACGTGTCTAGGTTCAAGGCTCTCTAGTACTCACGATGCGGTCTTGGCTGCCGTTGTCGCGGCTGTGCGGAATCTCTCAGCTCATCCAAAGAACCACGGAGTTATCGCTCGACGAGCCGCTGCGATTCTATGGCTTTATGCTGCTCCCAGTAAAGACACAATTCGTGACAGATTGACAGTTGCTGCAGATGCAACTGCAGCAATAGCAAATCTACTCCATTCCGAGGACTCAATCGTTCGCACCTACCTCTATAGAGTTCAGGTATTTGTTGACGACGCATTGTTCCTCTAGCCAATGATGAATAGGTCAATGACGCGTCGCGCTGTGGCCATGGGCGCGCGAAGGTATCATTTTGCCCGCCAGTCTCTGTTCATGATAACTCCAAGGTACCTTTCCTGGACTCATGGACGCTTCGTCGTTTTGTGGACCTCAACAGTCGCACTGCCCCGACTAAGAACGATCCTTGGCGCCCAGCCGTGGCTCTGGTCGGAAGGACTTTGCGTGTCGAGACTTTGACTACACATATTGCTCCCAGTCGCCCTGATACGATTATTCTTTCACCTTACGATAGCAAACATCACATCCACTTCCCGCCTGACTCAGACGCATGCTTGAAGGTAGGGCAATCCCGCGATTGGCAAACTTTAAACGTCCTCTTCAGGTGCCTCGAGGGTTGATGAAAGGTGCTATTCGTGACCTTCAGCGAGGAGCGTCAGTGTACCGCTTTCAAAAGGTCTGCGGTGCACGAGTCAACAGGCTTCATGCATTGCCAAATGTTGATGACACTGCTTTCTACTATTACGCACGCAGTAACGCCTCTGCTGTTCCGGCCCGCCGACCGCGCACATAATGATTTTACTAAATTCAGCCCACTGCTCATTGCGTAGGCTGTAGATCCAACGCCGGAGCGGCGACGGCCTGTACCCGGGAGCCTTAATGTGCTGGGCCTTTCGATGCCTGCCTTACCACCCTGCACGCTGCCTTCCGGTCGGGGGGCTATCCTCCTCGACCAACTAGAAATTCGCAGTTGCCCTGATGGACCCGACCTCAGTACCCCGGAGCTAAACCAGAAGATGGACGAAATTGAGCTTGCAATCAAGGAGACTGTTGATGATCTCGAGCTTGTAGTTTCCCATGCTCATGATGTCGATCATTCTCTTGATGCGGTGAAATTAGACCTGGAAAACACGTGTGTACTCTTCTTATCAATGGACCTGATCTTTGTATCCTAGGCGCTGGGATATCGACAAGTCAATATTTGCTAGCCGAAAAACTGCCAGTGATGGCCATAGCTACAACGACACTCCTCTTGTTTGGTCTAGGCGCTTTCATACGGACTGGTTACGGGTTGCCAAAACCCAGAGATTTAAAAAGCTTGTAAGTATGGAACTTAAAAATGAAGAAATGGGTGAAATTGTTGTCGCGGAACCATTGCGGGACCTGTGCGAGGCTGAATACCCCAGCATTATGGCTGCATTTCACTACTATTGTGCTTTTGATGGTGATATGGGTCCAACTGGTTCAGTGTCATGTCGTTTGTTGGCTTTCCCACCCATGAGTAGGTGATGGTGGTACCGCGTGCTTTTGTGTGCGCGAGAGTGCATACATGCGTTTTGTCCTCGACATTATCGGCGGCGAAGAGAAGTGGCGCTCAGAGTCGCGCAAGCTATGGTCTCGTTCTCATTTTCATTGCATTTCAGGCGCCGGCAGCTCCCTCTCGCAGTTTGGCAGGATCTTCAGATCATATTTATCACGGTACGCGGCCTTTCTCCAGTCATGCCCGTATCATCTAATCGCAGGTAAATAAAGAAGATGGACGTCCGCGTAGTGCTTCTGATGCAGATATTAATTTAGATATGTACTTGATGGTACATGAATGGCTCGAGGCAGTCGTTCGAATTGGCTCTCTACTCTACCGCAAGCGCCACGCAAATGCTCTCGTTTTAGCCGTGAAACATTTATTTGCTGTAATGCACGAGAGGCTTCCGACAACAGCGTACGACGTCGATTTAGACGGATATCGTTACGGTCGCTTGTACACTGCAGTAATTGAAGATGTTTTCCTGAGAGTGCACAATGAGCTGAAAGCTGTTTATGACTGCTACAACATGTACCATATGGGATCAAAGGAACGGCGTGGCATGCATTTTGGCCCAGCGCGTGCTGTTTTTGGGATCGATATCTGGAACCAGATGCTGAATGACGCGCTTTTCGGTGCTTTCGAGAGTAAAAGTAAAGTTCCACATACGCTTAGAATGTATAGGCTGGCCTCTACGACAGTAGTAATCTTGGTCCATTTCCAAAGCGGCAAGATTACAAGCTCCTCTTCCTCTGGTCTCGACTTTTGTGCTTTGATGAGTATGATCGTGCCAAGGTTGGACAGCTATCCTTCGTTGATTTCCTTGAGCTTCTTGCTCGATGTGCCGATGCCCATGCAGAGGGGACTTTTCGCAGTGACCTTCATTACAAACACCCCCTCGCAGATTCCCTTGCTGTTTTTCTCAATATTTTGCTCACTGGTATTGCGACGCACTGTTCTGGAAAGCTCGTCGTTGTCGCTCCGGGAAATTCGAGCAATGGCAAGATTGCTGCAGATCTCTCTCACTATCTTCCCACGAACAATAGGAAGATCGCCAATCCTTCAACTCATGAGGCAGACGAGGAGGTAAATGTGGTGCAAGGTAACAACAGCCAAGCTCAAATTAAAAAATAAGTTTTTTATCTCTATCGGAGCATGCTCATTTGGAGATTCTGACCCTAATCGGGGGACCGACCTTCGCAGCAAGTCTGCTCATCCCCCCCAAACCCTCTCCTACTCGCGCCTGTTCTATTGGCCAGTTGCAGCTTAAATACTTGGCCATTCCAAAAAAAATGAAACTCAGGTGGCGTACTTGGTGCATGTGGCCCTTTCCCGGGATTGTGTTTTACTGACGCCGCGTGCTTTTGTGGTGAAGGTACGTCCCAATGTCTAAATGGGGATAGAGAGCTACGCCCAAGCGAGACAGGTTCATCTCCATAGGGTGACGTCGGCGATGTCGAAGTAGCAGGGCAGATAGGCTGGGTATTTTAGGTGGACCAGGGCCCCGGAGACTGCATTATTAGAAAGACGCGCATCTTGGGGCCTGGTGGAGACTTCATCCTTATATCAAGGGCCCGATACTGTAAGTAGGGAGGATGCAGCTGTTGCCCTCAACGAAACCACCTCAACTTGAACTTACAGCTTCCAAGCCTCTCTTTATTTTCAAGCAAACATCTCCAGGTGAAAACTATACTTCAATAACGTAATATTCGCCTGCCCAGTCAGTCATGCTTGCCAAGAGGCTAGTCACGATCGGGGGACGCCACCAATGCTCAATACATGCGAGCGATGACATTTCTCGGGCCAAACGTTGCCCCCAATAAGCATGCTGCGGGTTGGTGGTTCGAAGCCGAAAGGGAGCATACTAGTGCGGCGTGCCTGGCTGCCGACTAACAGAGTTGAATAGCTGTATGATCGGCATTAATATATAAAATGCCGAGCTCTTCATACTCCTGCAACATTGCAAGAAAGTCATCTTCCCGAATAGCTTGCTTGATAGCGGCACTTTTCACCTGTGAATAATTCAGTGTTCGTGTATTTCCCTCATTGGCACAGTTGCACAGCAGATTAAACGCAGCAGATTTGGCATCTTCCGACACGATGCTACAATCCAAATACAATGCAGTTTTTGATGTTTGGCTGAGGCGGCATGCTTCGCTCACGTCGTCCTGACACACTTGACTATCAAGCCGAAGCCGTGCCAGGGCCTGTGCGAGTCGAAGGATTGAAAGCAGCTGACGCGGCGTCATAGACCCCTGCTCAATTTCAACCGAACGTTGACGCCAGGCAACATAGGTCTCTATGATGGTGCTACTGAGGTTTCTGGGGACAAGGGGCTCAAATTGGCGAGCTTGTGCAATGTACTGTGCAAGAAAGTCCGCACCAAAGACCAAGAAATTCAATTTAGGATTGGAAAGATGACTATGCACATGTGTGACATGGCGTGCTAGTGCAACATCTCCTTCAATCTCGGGCGTGTCTAGCAAAAGAAACATGAGATCAAAACGAGAGAGAAGACTGTTTGGCAGATTGATATTCTCTGCCATGGTCTTTCCCCTCACATATCGCCCGTAAACGGGATTCGCGGCAGCTAGGACTGCGGTTCTCGCATTTAACGTTGTGGTTATACCTGCCTTGGCAATAGACACCGTCTGTTGTTCCATGACCTCGTGAATTGCTGTACGATCATACTCATCCATCTTGTCAAATTCGTCAATACAACACACTCCACAGTCAGCAAGAACCAGTGCCCCGCCTTCCAGAGACGTCTCCGACGTAGAAGTATCTCGGACAACAGCCGCTGTTAACCCAACCCCCGAAGATCCTTTTCCGGTCGTATATATACCACGCGGACTTGTTGCAGCAATCGACTTCAGGAGTTGAGACTTCGCCACACCAGGATCACCCATAAGACATATGTTGATATCTCCACGGATGCGAACTCCATCTACCAGTGCCCGAGTCACGCCCCCCACCAATTGCAGCAGCAGTGCCTTTTTGACGTCCTCGTGACCAAAAATCTCAGGGGCTATAGATCGTGCTAACCTAGAGTATGCATCTCGTGAGTTTGCAAGCTCATCGATTTGATCATCCACTTCTGAGTTCACTTCTAGCTCAAAATAATTCTTTTTTACCTTATCAATGGCCATGGCTTCAAGAAAAGTGTCTGTGTTAAGCCCTCGCCTAAGCGCAGTGAACTGGCAACTATGGTATTGAGGTAGAAATACGCCACTAAGAACAATTGTATCACCCGGAATACAACGGCGAGTGAGTTCACCACGACAATGAACAGCAATCGATCGGGGCACGTGTCCAACTGGCACATGTGAAGGTAGCTCTTGGATTCTTAGCTCCTGATACTTTGTGAATTTTGATGATCGCGTCTGTGGGAAGATACGACCCATCATCTTGTTTGCGACGCAGGGCTGAGATGTGCAATGTGACAAAGGCAAGAAGGACTTCTGGTTGGAGACATCGTGGTATGAATCATGTCCGCATGTCTCGCACGTGTATGTTATGACTTCAGCAAGCGGCCTAACATCGGATGCCCGCGTCACGATACCACAAATCTTGACCAACCGACCGATACTAGCCGCTTTCAATTCACGCACTGAGCCCGCTACGACTTTCGTAGGCGGTAACAGCCTTACTTCGTGCCATCTACGCAACGATAGCGGGAGAGAACCGTTACTCGAATGGCCCTGTTGCTGTTCGAGCCCGTTGATTAAAAGGCCTGGCACATGTTCCATGGGCATAGCATCAAGTAGTTCAACAGTTATTTGTTCAAATATTGCATGATAGCGAGCTGTGTTGTGCATGATCCGACATGCAAGTTCCTATGGTGCAAGACACGAGTGATGATCATGTATAAGATAGTGCTCTGCGCCGACAAAACATCCTCTTTGGCGTATGCAATTAGGTCATCCAACTCAATTGCCAACACGCGGCTTTCCCGTGCCTTAATCGCTTCCAAGCCCCTGACGTATTTGTATTGCTTGCCACTAAGCCTGGATTTGTCGCAGAAACAGGTGAGAAACCGCTCGAGGGCCTTCACATCGATCGGAAGCATCATTATTGTTCAAAATTTAATATACACATACAGGCCCGGTAGAAAATTGCATTTACGGCAGAACAATATGTTTCCGTCCACTCGGCCTTTCGTATCTCCCACTAGCCTGAGCTAAAGGAAGCAAAGTAAACTCCTCCCTCAAGGGGGGGGCTGAGCTCAGTTTCAATCAAAGGTGCCAGAATGAAGGCCGACGGACCGCGCTTGGATGGCGCAGCCACCTCAGCAGGGACTATGAGCGCCGCATTACTCCAGAATTTAATAATTTCGCCCGGGGAGACGGAGGACCCCCGGTTTCCCTCCATCATGGCCAAGTGGACGGAAATCTTCGATTAACCAGCTGCAGGAAAGTAGCGCCCACTCGACACTCGCCCCTTATGCTCTTACTTGATCTGCATTGCTGAAGCGGCCCGCCGGCGGAATTTTCTCTGGATAAGATTGGATAGGGGGCATAGTGTAGGTCCGGGAGGCGACAGCCGTGGTTAGAACCAACCCAGTCCCGGCTGAGTTGCTGGATAGTAGTTTGATTGACGTTATAGCGACATTAGGGGGCTAATAAGCAAGCCTAACTTCCCTCATTATCTTCAAGTTGCTTGACTAGAAGGCTACTTTGCACTCGGAAGGACCCGGGCCGGCTATTTCCGACTCGGGCGGCCAGGCGGTCGACCCAGACGCCAAAGCCCCGGGCGGGGTCCAAACTAGGCCGCGTCGATTTCCCCGCGGGCAGCGGCCGAGCGGTAGAACCTAGGGCTGCGCCTGAGCGCGGGGGGGCCAGCAGGCTCTCCGGGAGAGGGTGGCGGGGGCTGAGCTCGGATCGAGCTGCCGCAAAGCCGACTGGACTCTTCTGTCGCTTTCGTCGCGGGCCTACATTGCAGCCAAAGCCTGTGCGAGGCTTGTATGGTTCTTGTTCAATTTGCTCGGTGGTCTCACCCGAGGTTAGCCCACGTTCCATCTGTAGCAGCAGTGAAAAGGCGTCATAGGGGTTCGCCAACTTCATCAGTATTTAGGGCGCTGGGGGCGTTTCGTGGGACCAAGCAACAGACAGAGATATGGGAGGGACGATCCAATCTTTCGATGCTGGCCAAGCTAAGGTGAAGCAAGAAGAGAAGAGGTTTCCTCTCACCAAATACGTCGCCTTTTGCCAGGCCATCGAGGACACAGCCCGGATGATCAGCATCGGCTGGCACGCGAGCTAGAAGCATACGAAACAGGCTGGAGGCATACGAAAGCTCTTGCGGGTGGAACAGACAGAAAAGCGTCTGCGCTAGGAGTTCTTCCCTGCCATAGCCGGTCATCTGGACAAAGTTGTCGTTGACGGCCACAAAATTGCCGAATCCATCTGTTAATGCCCAAGGAACAACCTGGCCATCATTGTCCTTCGTTAAGAATTTCCTCCTGAAAAATAGACGCAGATATCAAGCGCATCGGTGAAAACAATGCCCAAATTCAACACTTCTTGTTTGGCCGTGCCTGCTACAGTCTTGGTTATCGACCCCCGGAGACGCGGTGGGTGCGGTGGTTCGAGCTATCGGTGTGTGCTCAGATACTTGAAATGCAGGGGGCAAGTTGCTTTGGCTTTCAGCGATAAGTTGGTTTGTCACCGAGAAGACGTGTACTAGACGGAGGCGTTCAACCTCGAGCTCGGATATCACTTGAATTGATTTCCGGATTTTCTGCAAATATACGTCTTCCTCCACCAGTTTCTGCATAGGATAATGATTTGTGAAACGAAATTCAAAGTTTCCGTTCGTGTCTCCCAGTTGTCCCAGTCCGTTGGGGGGAAGTATCAGTGCATATTGAGCCTACATTGATGATATATCGTCCGCCTCCTCGAGGATTATTTCCTGACTTCTCTTCAACTTCTCTTCAACTTACCCTCAAGGTCTATTTCCACACTGGACCATAGGCTCAGCCTACTGGACCATAGTGCACCCAGCCCGGCCTCCCTGGCCGCCGCCGGGCTGGGCCTTCCCATGCTCGAGGCATCGTCAACGTCAATGTTTGACGAAATTCAATGGCTATGGTTGATTTAAACGGGAATTAAATCGGCGCGCGGGTTGCCGGCACCGGCCAGGGGGATCTAAGAACGGCAAGCTTTGCGGCCTCCACCCCCCCCCCCCCCC